CCTCTGGCCACCGAGTCCACCTGGGCTTCCAGTGTTAGACTGGGGTCCAGGAGCACCCCCAGGCTGCGGACCCTGTCCCTTAGGGGGAGTGTAACCCCATTCAGGGCAGGGAGATGGCCCTCCAGCCTGTCTGGCGAAGCACCCACTAACAGCACTTCCGTCTTGTCTGGATTGAGTTTCAATTTATTTACCCTCATCCAGTCCATTATCAGGTCCAGACACGAGTTCAGCACAGAAACCGCCTCACCTGGATTGGTGGAAAACGAGAGGTAGAGCTGAGTGTCGTCAGCATATTGCTGACTCCTCAGCCCAAACCTCCTGATGACCTCTCCCAGTGGTTTCATGTAGATGTTAAACAGCATGGGGGACAGTATCGAGCCCTGAGGAACCCCATGACATAAATGCCATGGGGCAGAGCAACTGTCCCCCAGCACCACCCTCTGGATACGGTCAGCTAGGAAGGAGCGGAACCACCGTAAAACAGTGCCCCCAACTCCTAACCCAGCCAGCCTATCCAGAAGGACACCATGGTCGATGGTGTCGAAAGCCGCTGAGAGGTCCAGGAGTATCAACAGGGTCACACTCCCCCTGTCTCTCTCCCGGCAAAGGTCATCGTACAGGGCGACCAAGGCAGTCTCTGTACCAAAACCCGGCCTGAAACCTGATTGAAATGGATCCATAAAATCCGTTTCATCCAGCAGTGCCTGGAGTTGCCCAGCCACAACCCGCTCCAACACTTTGCCCAAATAAGGGCAATAAATAATTATTAAGAATGTTATTGGAAAATCTTGAGAATATTGTATACTATGAAAGTAATATTATAATAGTAGTCATATTATATACTAAAATATGTGCATGAATGGTTTGAATGTTTGAAAGATGTCTGGAATTTGGGGGGACAACTGGGAAGACACTGAGATGTAAAAAAACAATTGTAAGCAAATCATGTAACACGATGTTTGACAAGCACAAACCAATGTAGATAGAGTGAAAAACTAATAAAATGTTTAAAAAAAACCCTATCCATTCTGAAGGAAATCAACCATGAGTGCCCACTGGAAGTACTGATCCTGAAGCTGAGGCTTCAATATTTTGGCCACCTCATGAGAAGAGAAATCTCCCTGGAAAAGATCTGATGTTGGGAAAGAGTGAAGGGAAGAGGAAAAGTGGGTGACAGAGGATGAGATGGATGGATAGTGTCATCGAAACTACCAATATAAATTTGACCAAACTCCGGGAGGCAGTGGAAGACAGGAGGACCTGATGTGCTCTGGTCCATGGGGTCATGAAGAGTCGGACACAATTTAACGACTAAACAACAAAAAGTTTTTTTCTATTTAAATTACAGTAATGATGTCTAATTGTGATGACATTTGTACGTATCTGCTTAAATTAGCTTCACCCGCACGAGCCAGGAGGTGAGGTTGAGGAGCCTGACGCCGAGGGAGGCCCAGAGGGAAAAGACATGAAACCAGGCCTTCTCGGCGGTGGCTCCTCGCCTCTGGAATAACCTTCCATCAGAGATTCACAAGGCCCCCACGCTGGGTACTTTTAAAAGCCAATTAAAAACATGGATGTACATCCAGGCCTTCCCTCCTGTCAGCACTTGACTCTCTTTTCTTTCTTGCTATTTATTATTTTCTATATTTTTGTACTGTATCTGTTATTGATTATGTCATAATGCTTTTGTGTTATTTTAATGTATATATGTTATGTTGGTTGAATATGCCAGAGTGGTCGAATATGCCAGATGGGTGGGATAGAAATTAATTAATTAATTAATTAATTAAATACATACATACATACATACATACATACATACATACATACATACATACATACATACATACATACATACATACATAAAATAGGCAAATGAAGTGCAAAAATGTCAAATTTTTGTGAAGGATATTCTTTTTTATCTTTTTTGTCCTTTATGTCCTCATTTTTTTATTGATGTCTCTGCTGCTTTTTGGCAGTGGAGCAGCAAACACCCTAAGGACTAGGTATCTCTTAGAATTTGTAATATACGTTCAGTTGAGAAATAGTGACTCCTGTTGTTGTTGGAAAGTGACTACATGTCTCATGTAAACGAAGACATATCTCATGCAAGCAGTCTCTAATATTATTATTGTGGCATGAGTTTGTTGCACTGTAGAACTCGTTGCTTGAACGAGTTTAATTTTTAATTTATTTTAATATTATGTATGTTTTAATAATCTTTTGATCCATTTTAAGGAAAATTAAAAATAATCAAGTAAAATGGGGCTATTTGGATACAGGACAAATTTTCTGTGACTGTGCAGAAATTCAATCAATGCAGCACTTATGTGCATTCACATTATGACCCACCACATGTACAAAAGAAGATCTTGGCAAATGGCTGAGATAACTCTACTGAAGTACCTTACTTCTGGTCAAAATAGTCTTAATAATTTTAACATTTTTATTTGTTGTAATTTTGCCTTCATTTCATATATGCCTATAATTTTAAATTGTGTAACACCGATAGATAGATAGATAGATAGATAGATAGATAGATAGATAGATAGATAGATAGATAGATAGATAGATAGATAGATAGATAGATAGATAGATAGATAGATGGATGGATGGATGGATG